AGGAGGAGGTTCTCAATTCGACTGTATGTTTTTTTTATGTGTATTACGCGATAACTCCGGTATTTGTGCACCGATTTTCATGATTCTTTTTTTGTTGGAAAGAGGGTACCTCCCTAGTGGGCTAAGAGTGGCTGTTCACGCATGAAGATTCATTTTTATAAATAGCGCCTAAGTTTTATTTTAAGGATATTGTAATGGTTGATTTTGCTATTCTCCAATTCAAGGCGTTTTTCGCTCTCAATATACTTTGAGTAGTGAGAACCGATTTTTATTATCTCCTACGTCAAGGCCCGTATAGTGGCGAACTAGGGGATGAATCCGAGTTTGCGCACTTTCCGGTAACTGATTTCAAAAAAACTTAGCAAATAGATGTAATTCCACGTACTTTGAGGTCGGTTTTTAGTACTCTGTACTGAGATTATAATAATATTCTGGTATTATTGTACTATATTAATAAATACTAAAAAAAACCATTATTTTAAAATCGTGCTGCGTCCGCGTCTTCAATTTAATCAATCGCTGTAGTGCAGAAGGAGCTTATCTAAGTATTTATCTAGTTTATAATAGTTTAATGTTAAATGTTGTATTACATAATTTTGTTTTCTTGTGCGCGTAAGCCCGTTGTTACAATTATTGTGTCCTGTATTTTGGTCTGCAGGAAGAAATTTCTTATAGAAATAAATAGTACCTTTTGTTTGTGTTTTCCTTTTATTAAATGTATTCTATGCTTTTTTTTTAAAAAAAGGAGTTACACTTGCACTTGGCACTTGTGCGCTTGGTTTTCATACAGATCGCGGTACTTGCGGTATCTATTTAGATATATGTGTGTGGTATATTATATTATACATGCATTTATTGATTGTTCCAGGTGGACAAGAAACGTGATAAATTGGAAAGAAAAGTCCTGGACAGCCAGGAGAGGGCATTCTGGGACGTCCACAGACCTATGGTAACGTACTATGGTACCGGCACGCTGTGATGGCCGTTTTGACGTTTGTCCGCTCACCAAGTTTCGTATTAATTCATAACTACGTTGAAGGAGCTAATTGACGTGCATTTTGTCAATAGTGACGTGCAGTAATATTTAAGAATGTATTTGTTTAGGCATTTGTTTTTCCTCAGGCAAATTCGCGTCAAAGCTCGGTGCAAAACAAAGTAGTTTTGAATTGACGATATATTAAGAAAAAAATTTTATTTTCGTTTTATTAAAACTTTTTAATCAGCTACCCCTTGCAAAACTAGTTATAAATCTAAAAACTTATAGATGAGCATTGACTTACAAATAAATGGACGACGGGTCTAATACAAAAACCAGGAAAAAATGTCCCAAGTCAACCTATTCGAAATTTAAATTGTTATGTCATCGCAGTATCGCGCTGTCCGTAGAACAAATGAAGACTAAAGCGGAGTGTCGCGCTCTGTATACGATTTTAGCGCCTTACAAGTGCGGACACTTTTTAGCGCGGACCCGACGTCCATATAATTGTAAGTCAATGTAGATGAGACTCACATTTGATTATGTTTTTTTCGATAATGCAATGAGATTTCACCTCACTATTGTAATCTGTCAAAACGTCCATCATAGCGTGCGGTAACTATATGTTACAATAGACACTAACACGGAAGAAGAAAAAACATTGGAAGTGCGATAAGCCTCGATTACTATTGGAACCGCTATCGCCAAAACGTACACAAACAAATGATGACGAACATATGGTCATGGTTTCTAATTTAAAAAGATTTATCAATTCCTGGATTGTTAATATAATTTAAACATCACCCAGTCGCTATAGCGTTGAGAGTTCAATACCTTTATTGCAAGTTACGACGTTTTTATTTTAAATTTTATTCCACGTGCTGCCATCTTGCGGCCAGTAGCTGGATTACGACGAATTAACATCTGAATCAGTTCGATGAACATAAAATTGAACATGTATTTAAATAAGACTTGTCGATGATATAAATGCTATTACGGGTAATATTGTCGGTGCGGCTTGATAGCCGCTTCACAATCTATCGATAAAACTGTCGACAACTACTACATGACTATTTAAAATTGTACGAAAACTAGCAACCCTGCAAATGTCATTTTACTTCATCTTCAAAAAAGACGGACTATAGATATAAAGTTAGTAGTAAGTCGCACTTTATATACGAAATTTACCATGAGTTTTTCGGTAAAGGAAAACACAGTGATGAAATCTGCACGTCCCGTGCCCAGTAGTGCACGTATATTGAGCTGTGCAATCCCTTCCAGCCTGGCTGCGTGAACACGACGGAGCTGGACCCGCGCAAGTTGTCACGCATCAACGCACTCAAAGCCAAACGTCTGCGCCAGTGTCAGCAGATCATCCTGCAGCACAACCTGAAGGTAAACCCTTAATCTTGGTTCAACATTACTACTACGACTAGTTTTAGTAAATGCTACCTCAAATGGCTTGGGTTGATTTCGTATAACAGTGAAAGTGTTGAATACATCGATTATATAACTAGAAATAGAGATGAAATGTCATTTAATTTGTTTGAAAACTATTCTGCCAAATCATTACGGTGACAACTGCGATCCGATTGGTCAGCCCGAATTCGACCAGCTTAACTTGAGCGTTGCTATAATGGACGAGAATTGAAAAATTACATATTTAATATTTAATTACCGATGAAATGTGATTCCGTTTGTTTTTACAGATATTATCTGTATTATAGTAAAGACAGGTCAGTTGTTGGCGCTGTACTATTTCACCTTTCTAATCTGTGATTTTTGCAAACGAGAGTTGACATTTAAAAGTGATATAAGGCCCATTTGCTTGATGAGTTGCCAGGGATGGTTGCTCCTTATTTCGTCTCTATTTCTGATTATATACTCGATGGTTGAATCAATCAATTTGGAAAAAATATACAGTAAAAATTGATATAATAAATTTATCTGTGTATTTATTGAGTATTGTATATCAATTAATTTCTTTTTTATTGCCAACCCAAAAGCCAACTTTCCTCTCAATTTTTCATAGGTTAGTTGAAAGAAATCCCTTTATGGGATAAGCTCGCCTTTGTACACTAATTTTTTGTATCGTTTCTTAAAATTTTTAATTTTCTTTGTGGTACAATAAAGTGTTTAAAAAAAAACAAAATTGAGTATATGCACTGATTACTATACGGTGTGAAAACACGATACCTAAAAATTTTCACGGTAGAAAATAAACAAAAAGTTTACCTCGAAATTTTACAACCAAAACGTATTCAATAGGTACTTTACATATACCGATGATTTTTTTTTATATCAACTGAACTAACTAGAATACGTATACTATACGTATACATATACTACAAGCTTTACTTTCGTTCCTTGCAACAAAAAAAATATTACGATAAACGGAATAAGTCTTTCCGATTATATGAAATACCACCACGGGTAACATTTTTGGTAGGGCTATCATTGTTGCACTCCAAGACAGTACAATAAGGCATTTTTCTAGGATCTTATAGAATTTGCACGAAAGCGACAATGGCGGACTGATCTCAGTTAGGTCTTTCGAGACCTATAAGGTGACACGCGTCTGACGCTAACCAACCACTTCTACGGTATATATTTCTTATTATTCTGTAGCGGGTACAACCACAAAATAAGGTACTTGCCGATTGTTGCATGGTGTGCGCCAGACCTACAGGAAAAGAATGGTACGTCGTCCGAGGAAGCTTCTTTCGTTGACGTCACTGAGGCGACTGTCAGGTCTGGACTCATAATGTTAAAAAATATAAAATAAAAAAATTACCCGTAGAATTTTTGGGATGGACTGTCAGGTACTTGTGTAGCTCTTGAGGTACTAAAGTATACGTAACACTTATGGATCCTAGTTATCTGAATAAATGAATTTGAATTGAAAGTGAATTAAATTTATACGATATACATTTTTCTAATGGTCTTAATTTCGTTTGTAAAAAAATAAATACTGTAATGAAGCCAGAATCCCTGTCGCTCGACCTAAGCAAAATCAACCGTATTAGTACGGGAAAAATTTGAATTCTAGCTGAGGCAGTATCGATTCTTAACGAAAAGTTGGTGAAACCCAATAAACCTGATCCATCCCCTAATTAATTCATCATCACCAGCTTACATGTATCCACTGTTGGACATGCCAACTCTCCCGGTCTTCATTTTTAGGTCGTCCGTCCCAAACTACGTTTTACTTGACGTGGTCGCCATTCCAGAACAAGTCTGCTCCATTGGCGATCAACCCTTCTGCAGACATGTCCGACTGACTGCCACTTAATCTTACTGATTTTGCGAGTCACGTCGGTCACTTTAGTTCTCTGACTTATGACCTCGTTAGGTGTGGAATATTGTGTTACAGGTTCAAATTCAAATTCAAATTCAAAATAATCTTTATTTCATAGGTAAGCATTATTACACTTGAAATCGTCACAATATTAAACTCTACCGCTCATTCGTAAGCCAGATTCCCCAGAGAAGAATGAGCAAGAAACTCTAGGGGTTGCTCTTTGTAAATAACATTTACAATATTTTTTTTTATTATTTGAAACATCAGAGATCGAGACTACCTCCATGAGCTAAACGGGTTACTACCACGGATTTTTGTCATCCAAGTACGCAGAAGTTGTATAATAACCTTTAGTATAAAGTTTTTGTTTCACTATAGTTTTAAACCTCGTGAAAGGCAAATTTTGTATATCAACCGGAATCTTGTTATAGAAGCGTATACATAGCCCCTTAAATGATTTTTTGACTTTGTGAAGACGACTATCAAGAAAAGCTAGTTCATTTCTATTCCTCGTATTAATGTTATGTCTGTCACTATTTTTCATAAATAATTACTATAATAATATAAATTACTATTCCTTTTAACATAAATTACATTCTCATAAATGTACTGTGAGGCTAGTGTAAGAATGTTAATTTCCTTAAACTTATCTCTCAAAGATACTAGGTGGATAATAGGTGGAATATTAGCTTCAAATTTGAATTTTTTTATATTTTTATTGAATTGATATTCAATTATTTTTATGTGAAATTACTCCACCAGTTTGTTATAATTATTAATACAAAGATCTTTCGCTCGGAAAATTCCGTCGATCCGGCCTAATTCGAACCGACGTCTTCTAGCATACCGTGGCAGACGCTATACCAACTAAGCCACGGAACGAACCAGCGGACCTCACGAAGTTTTTTCCAGTTCCATGTCCCTTTAATTTTACCAGCACCCTTGCCCTTCTAAACCGGAACGCAGTAATGTTCATATTACTGTTTTACAAGGAGCTCTACTGCTACTAACGGAATGGGACTGTTAGCGACACGAAATAATAATTAAAAATTAAGTTAGCATGGGCGTTGTCCGCACGTACATATTTCTTTTCCAACCTTCAAAATTAGACAAAAACGACAGTCTGCCGCATTTCGATGTACGCGACGCGCACCTTTTTGTATTTAAGAAATTGTAATAATGATCATAAGTAATTTCATTGTAACCATATTGTAACGGTTGTAACACGGAACACTGTCCAATGTATCGCATGTGTTCTTTATATAATGTTATCCGCCTTGATTTCGATATTTTCACTGGTTCTGTTGTCTCAGCTAGGAACTCAATTAGAAAATGTCTATTATGTTAACTACACGACTGACTTTGTTGAGTTTTCTTAAAATACTTGAAATGTACAGTTACTGTCACTTATTTAATATTTTGATACTTATATAGTTATTTTGGCCTGTTTTGCATGTTGTGTTCACATCAAGTAGGATACATTCTTATCGTGTTACTATATAAATGAAGTATTTGTAGTTTATATCTGAATTGTATCCAGTTTTGTGAACCGAATTAAAAAAAAAAACTTTCTTTGTTCGATATTTTGTCATTTAATTCGTGTGTGCATGTAGTACAAACAGTGACAGGTACAATTTCCGAGGTACCCCTTTTCTAAGTAAAAAATAATCATCGAAATCAATTCACAAATGTCGGAGTGCTCGGGTAACATTCACACATAATAACATTAAGTCGAATTGAGAGCTTCCTTTTCTTGAAATCTGTTAAAAATTATAAACTGAATTATATAAAAAAAACTCTCGTTTACTTTTCCAGAACAACCCCATTGTGACCATCACGAATCCACAGGAGAGTGAAGAAGAAATACAGAAGCAGATCTCGGAGAACACGGTCAAGGAGAACGGTAACTGTATATTCACGCTAAACAAGTAATGATAAAAAGCCAACTTATTTAGTTAAAATTTCGGACCGCATTTTACTTGATACTAAAAACCAACTGCCAGTTATATTTTTAAACTGAATATTTACGTGATATTAAAGACATTCAAGTGGTTCGTTTGAACTCCGATATGCATTTTACGTGATATTAACTCTTCGTCTACTTAAAATATAATTACTTAATAATAATAATGTATTCATATGTACGTTTGATGTAATAATTTTATCTGTATATATTTATTTATTCATTTTTATTGCCAACTCAAAAACCAACTGTTCCTCTCAGTTTTTCAAACTTCTTTTATAGGATAAGCTCACTAATATTTTAAATTGTTCCTTAAAATTTGAAATTTATTTTGTGGTACAATAAAGTGTTTACATACATACATACATACATGCTCTATGTTATGTTATATTAAAACCGTTGGGTAGTTCCATCAGACATAGATAAGAAATATCCAGATCCATCCGTCTGGGATAGTAATAGGAAGTTATAACTCGCCTCTATTGTGCAGGCGAGCCTTCGCAAGCAGAAATATCAGTAACATGCACCCCGGAGACGAAGGACGTCCAGCCCAGCCTCGAGCAGCAGATCGAGGCGGCCCGGAGGCAGCTGGGGATGCTGCGCGCCAGGCTCGAGAGGCGTAACATCCGCGTCAGCAAGGTGGCCGAGATGTAAGTACTAGCTTTGGAGACCTTGTGGCGAACTTTGTAGTTCTAAACGCCACTATAATGATGGAGCGAAACGCTACGGATCATGCTACTGAGGGTGGCCTCGAGATCATACGATCAGTGATGTAGGCGCCTGCGCATCGTCCGGCTCGCGTCACACTACCGCTACCACAGCGAGGCTATCGCCCCGCTTCATGCACCTCACCTTTTCGAGACCTGGCTAGTGTTCGCTGCGGCGGCCCCCTCTCGCCGCACACTCCGCTTGCCTTTTGCTTGAACGACTCACATGCGCTTGCTAATTTGTGTACTGCTTTGTTTTTGTTTTTTTAATACTTTTTCAATAATATCGTTCATTAGCTTCCGTCTATCTTTCTTCCTTCATTTTCGCTTTCTTGCCATAGTTTCAAGTGTACGTATTTCGGGTTCGAGTCTCGAATCGACAGATAGGGGTAACGAACATACTCCTTCAACTTATTTAACGTGATAAACTGTTTTTCCGGATCTAAAGTTGTGTAAAAATTTGTAATGTTAAATGTTAAGTGGTAAGTTCACAGAGAGCGGCCGCGCTGGGCTATTCACTTTCCAAATAACTCGCACAATAAAGCCCGGGAGAAGAAAATGATACATGACTGTTCGTCCGTGCCTGAACAGGTTCATCGCCTACTGCGAGCAGTACGCCGAGTACGACGCCTTCCTGACGCCTCCGGAGTGGCCCAACCCCTGGGTCAGCGACACCACGGAGCTGTGGGAGCAGGAGAAGCTCTGGTAAATCGCTACCTTCCTTCATCCTCCGCAGCCGATGTGGCTCGCCAGTCTGATCGCGATTTGTATATCATGTGGTAATTCGTCGGCAGCAAGGATCCGCTGCCGCTGCGGCGCGTGCGGCGCTGGTCGTTCGGGCTGCGCGAGCTGCTGCAGGACCCCGCGGGAAGGGACCACTTCGCCAAGTTTCTCAACAAGGAATTCAGCGGGGAGAACCTCAAGTAAGTTTTTTTAATGATATTAACTGACAAGCGCCTGATGGTGAGCTACACGCCTGTCCATAATAGTTGCAGTGCCACTCAGAGCTTTAAATCGCAAAGTCTGAGGGATACTACCAATGCATCCGTCACCCAGAGTCATAACTTGACAAGTCCCATATAACCCCATGTAATTTCACCAGCACCCTCCCAAACCGAAACGCAGTAATGCTAACATTACTGCTTGGCAGCGGAAATACGTAAGGTGGCAGTACTTCCCTGGACGTACTCTTTAACAAATTAAGTTTGAAACTATTTTTCTGGATTTAAATCGCGTATATTTATATTTAACTACCTCCGTGGCCGAAAGGTTACCATACCGGACTGCCACGCAGAGGTCCCCGGGTTCGATTCCCGGGCCGGGAGAAATATTTGTATGGCCTACATTTATTTCTCTCGTGAGTTTGGGTGTAATTTGTGGTTGTCTATGTGTGTGTCCATGGTACCCGCGACACAGGGTTTCCCTAGTGCGGGGCTATGTTGAGTGTGTGCGTTATTATTATTATTATTTATTTGTTTTTTTTAAAGATACCAACGTTTCGGGCCCTTTGCAGGTCCCATGGTCACGGTTGACTGAGGTGGTACAGTCTTCAACCAGTTATGTCTAATATTAATGCGATCCACCCTATTTTTTCACTATAGTTACAATAGTTATTAATTAAATACCTTATTTTTCATAGATGGCGTTACGACTAAAAAGTCGAACTAAAACGTGTCTTGTTCAAGCAGAACTTTCGCTGTTACAGATTCTGGTTAGCCGTGCAAGAGCTAAAACAACTTCCCATCAAACGAGTGGCGTCGCGTGCTAAGGAAATATGGAAGGAGTTCCTCGCGTCTGACGCGGCAATGCCTGTTAACATTGATGCTGCTAGCAGGTTTGATTCTTTCCCTTTTTGTAGTGACAATTTTGTAGTCCATTTCACATAGGATGGGTCCTGTGACGTTTCCAATATTCACGCATACTATTTTTAACTGTAGTCTGTTCTTGTCCTTGTACACACAAGTCAGTAGTTGGTCTGTCTATATTTCAATGCAAACGAGAATTGACATTTATAAGAGCTGTATCGCTAATGTGTTACCAGGAATATATGGCCATTATTTCGTCTCTATTTCTGGTTATATACTCGATGTTGTCCGGTAATATTCCACCTCTAAGGGTGGCAAACTAGGGGATGAATGACTTTTGTGGAGATTATTATTCTTCCACTCTCCCCAATCAGCCGTCATTTCCATATCTTCTTATCATACCATACCTTTCTTATCTATGTCATTTTTCACACAATCCATCCAATTTTTTTGGCCTTCCTTTCCCCTTATATCCCTCCACATTCATACCTAACTCTTCTCGTCACATGATATTCTTTCTTCCGCATGACATGTCCATACCACGCTAACCTATTACTCCTCATCTTTTCCGCCATTGGCGCCACTTTCAATGATGTACTCATGTATGTATTGCAATGACTGTATTCCAGTTATTGCAAAATATTATATTTGCATACAATTTTATAGAATTTCTTGTGATAATATTCTTCTAATTGAATATGTAAAGTCCTTGAAGACAAAAGTCTTCGAGCAGTGCGTGTTGCCAGCGATGACCTACGGGTCTAAGGCGTGGTCACTAACTTTGGGCCTCATAATCAAAGTCCCGCAACGAGCTGTGGAGCGAGCAATGCTCGGCATTTCTCTACGTGATCGAATCAGAAATTAGGAGATCCGTAGAACGAAAGTCACCGACATAGCTCGAAGAATTAGCAAAGTCGAAGTGGCAGTGGGCAGAGAGGTTCTTAAGACCACGAACCGTAAGGCGTTCAGTGGCACGGCCCCCCACTAGATGGACGGATGACCTGATGAGGCGGCGGGTAAAAAGATGACGTGCATCCAATCTTTGGAGGAGGCCTATATTCAGCAGTGGACGTCTAAACTGTTAGCGCGTTTGCGCTCTGCATCCGTTTCGTACGCGCTCCGAATCCGAGACAATACAGTTCTAGAAAACTCGTACTCACTTAGGATTGTACACTAAGTCTGGGGGGTCTACTCTCGACATCCGTCCGAAACAATTACTGCCAAATAAGCAATACTTGACCAAATGGAAAGACGCGCGATGCGAATGAAGCTTCATACTGGATACTTGTCTTTTAATTTTGTCGAATATTACTTATTTGACAGTAATTGTTTCGGACGGATGTCGGACGGACATCGAGAGTAGCCCCCCTGATTCGAATGCGAGAAAATACGACTTAGCATCGCCACCTAGTGAGCGTCTGCTAACACTACGCCGCGGCACTATATCGCGGTGTCTTACGTCAGTTGCCTAGTAAACTAGACAAACCACCACCAATTCTGTGGCCGCTCGCTAGATGACGCTAGTCGAATAGATTTAGATTTAGATTTATTTTATTATCTTGTAAACTTTACATTATTATATACAATATATTGTATTACAAGAATCGTTACAAATAGTAATAAATGTTACATTTCAATAAATTACAAATATCCAGTACAAGTTTTGTACTACGTAATTTTAACATAGTCAACGTAGTTATGTAAATTCATGTAGGAACATATTAAATAATATAATAATAATTATGTCAATATAATGATTGCATGCATAAAGTTTATGTAATTTATTCATTTCTGTAAAATAATATCTATACCTAATAATCTATAAATTACAACATACATTACAAGACCATGTCCCTATATTCCTCAGTGGAATAATACGCATTATCCAACAAAAAGTCTTTCAGTCGACGATCAAATGTTTCATCATTAGGCTCATTTTTTAAGTCAACGGGTAGGTGCTCATAATAAGCCGGGCCGATTACACGCGGATTTTTTTCAGTGAGTGCTAACCGTCGCGGTACGGCTCTCAATCGTCCTGTGGAGCGGGTGTTATATCGAATGTAATAATCGATTATAAAGTATATCCAGGGCGCCTTGCTCTAGTATATAAGTAAAATTGTAAAACTTGCTCACTCTCTTATCCATCATCTCAACACGAAACATACAAGCCACAGGCTGCGTTTTCATTTACCACGTACCACGGTTTAACAGCTTGTACACCTAGGGATAAAATGATCTCTGTGACATTTCGGACCGTCATTTCCTGGATTCGGAACGAATACTATTCGCATGCCGTGCGCAAATACGCTTAGCCTTTGTAAAAAAATATATCATTATCTTATGCAGCTTGAGTATGCTGTTTTATAGTTAATTTGTAGTTACTTATTTAATAACATTATAATTTCTCAATCCGAGAATTGTTTTGGCTAAATTGGTTTGACTAAATTGATTTATATATTTTTGTTCAGGCATATCTATATTATTTCTTCGTGAAGACAAATGTGACGTTTAGGTAAATAAGCGTCCGATTATCCAATCACTACTTGCAAGATCGTAGTTTTGAAACAAAAACAAAACTTTTTGAGTTCTGTTGTCGCGTGTTTAAAGCCTGTTTTACTGTTCCTTTCAGAGAATTAACTCGCACAAAAGTGGAATCGGGTACACCCGATAGATATTGCTTCGATCAAGCGCAGGTAATTTTTTATTTTATAATACCAAGTGAAGGGACGAACAAGTCGTGCGCCTGATAGTAAGAGACACGCCTGTCCATAACAGTTGCAGTGCCACTCAGAGCTTTTAATCGCAAGTATCTAAGGGCACTGACATAAGTTGACAAGTCTCTCGTGCCTATAATTTCACCAGCACCTTTTATTCTAATTTTGACACCTGGTCTACTAGTATCGAAATCAATTTTCACTCATATACATTGGAATAAAAAGGTGGGTTTGATTTATCTATATTGAATTAAAATGAAAAACTTTAAAATATGTCTCTTCTTCATTGACTTACAAATAAATGGACGACAGGTCTAATACAAAAACCACGAAAAAAATGTCCCAAGTCAACCTATTTAAACGTAGTGACATGTAAAGGAATGTGAAAAAGCTAAAACGTTGAATTTAAATTGTAATATCATCGCAGTACTGTCTAATTTTGCTTGCTTCGCTGTCAGTCGAACAAACGTAGACTAAAGCGTGAATGACGCGCTGTATACGATTTTAACGCCCTATAAATTCGGACACTTTTTAGCGCGGACCCGACGTCCATATAATTGTAAGTCAATGCTCTTCTTTCTATTTTTAATAAACATAGTTCTAACTACAGTGTATGTATCAACTTACAAAAATTGACGTAGTTTACGTAGTTGACGTAGTTTTAATTGGTTTACCATCAGCGCACGTTGTTCGTCCCGTCACTTGATATAATAAAAAAAAAGATATGGTAATATCGATCCGCCTTACGTAAAGTATCGTATGTCGAAGTTGCCAAGTTTGCAGGGGCGCCTTTTAAAGTTCTGAATTCACCGAAATAAGCACAACACGTGCTTTTAGTATTTGTCAGTTTTATTCGGCAAAGTCGTTACTCACATAGAGTATTATAAAATCCTAGATTTCGGTTAGATGATGTATGATCATCTATTAGATGTATTAGATGATCACTCTATGTGAGTAACGAGCTTTGCCGAATAAAACGGAAATCTTTAAAAGGCTCCCCTATAAACTTGGCAATTTCGACTTACGATACT